GGACTAAACCGGCAACTATTTTTGTTGACCTTTGTCCATGGAAGGTCCCTGCAAAATTTCATTGAAATTGGTTCAGGGGTTTTGGAGAAGAAGATTTTTGAAATTTTAGTCAATTTGACCCTTTTTGGCCCCGCCCCTCAGGCCCCTGGGGGCTTAGGACTAAACCTGCAACTATTTTTGTTGACCTTTGTCCATGGAAGGTCCCTGCAAAATTTCATTGAAATTGGTTCAGGGGTTTTGGAGAAGAAGTTGAAAATATAAATTGTTTACGGACGCACGACGGACGACGGATGACGACGGACAAAAGGCTATCGCAATAGGTCACTTGAGACTTTGTCTCAGGTGACCTAAAAATTAACCTCAATTTACCATATTGGGTCCCACCTCTTAGCCACAAGGGGGGCCACACCCTCCGTTTATACAAAATTGAGTCCCTTGCCCAAGGATGCTCCAGGCCAAATTTGGATAAAATTCCTCCACTGGTATAGAAGAAGGATTTTACAGATTTAAATTCCCCTTTAAAGCCTTGCCCCTGTATGCACCTAGAGGGGCCAACACCCTCTGTTTATACAAAATTAAGTCCCATTTAAATTGCCCAAGGATGCTGCAGGCCTAATTTATTCAAAATCCACGAAGCTGTTCAGAACTAGTAGCGTTTTAAATGAAAAGTTGCCGGACGGCCGGGTGCTGCGGTAGGGCATAATATAAGTTCACCATGGTCTTTTGGACCAGATGAGCTAAAAAAAAGTTGATGCCGGACGCTGGACAGACGGACGACTGATCACTATGCCATAAGCTCACTTGCCCTTTGGGCAAATGAGCTAAAAACTAAAACGGGATGTCTGATCTACCCTTTTTATCTTCTCTTTCTGGTGTGTTAACAGAAACACACTGGGTTTTTTCTTTGGCCTTATTACTCAGTTATCTATAACCAAATACAGATGCTACCAGATGTATTATAACTGAGAAATGCAAATTATACTGTATAAGCCTACAACTTAAACTCATTATCAAATATAGACATATGCATGCATCCTGTTGAGGTTGCAATTGAGGGCTATTAGCTATAATATAGGCCCAAAAGGAGAGGATTTTGGCATTCAACTGAGCAACAATGGACAGTACATACCTGCACATCAATCTGTTTGATTTATCTGCTTGATATTGAAATAATGAAGTCATATTCATCAACCACAATATGTATGTTATATATATTGTATAATCATTTACTGTAAAAATAATATTGTATACATGTAGTGCACGATCATTCTAAAACCTAAATCCATACAGTTACTTGAAGTTGGAATTTTCCTTTTGTACATATACTACAATTTAAAAAAACATGTATGTAATCTTTATTTAAGTGGGCAATACAAAGTGATATTAATGAAATACATGAGGTACGTAACATATTATTGTAAATCTTACTGGTCTGTGTGTATAATAACAAACTTGTGATGTCACAAATGAAATCAAATTATTATTGACTAATGATCGACTAAATATTATTTATTATATACCGCTATATTATATATACAGTCACTAATAAAGAAAGAAACAAAATTTCTGCATATATTTGCATGAAATATTGGAATTGTTTCAAGTTATTGTAACTTATTTAGATCTGTAGATATCATTATAGGTTTTATTTTTATGTTAAAATTACTTTTCAGTCAAAAGTATTTATTAACATATGGAAAATCATGATCACTTGCAATTGATAGACTAAAACGTATAATGACTACATGTTACTGGTTGTGCTTTATACAATCTACAAAATGAGTAATCCATTGTTATTAAATCACAACATTACTTGCATATATAAAACATCTTCACTACATATATATTGTATAAAAAGGTAAATTTTAAAGTTAACACTAGTATTCCATCTTTGCGTATTGCAGAGTTATCACCTCTTGAGAGCAGGTATTGATTGTTACGTCATTGGTTTGTGTGTGAAATTACGTCCTTTTCTCAAAAATTGATGACGTTCCTCTCACAAACAAGTGACGTAACAATCAATACCTGCTCCCAAGAGAAGATAACTCTGCAATATGCAAAGACGGAATAGGCCAACATATAATGATTGCAACCATTTCTCTAAACCATTTATATATGCCCATAATTTTCCATACCATCAGACCCAGCATTTGGTCAGCAACCTAACACTCTCTCTATTTTCTACAGCAAAGATAAATGAAATATTTTTAAAAGCTGTTAAATGTAGCCTACAGAAAGCAAAAACGTTTAAATACATTATATACCGTCATCTCACAAACATTAAATAGATGTGTTTCAACTATGATGATTCATGACAAAAGATAACAATTCAATGTACACAGTATTACCTGGCACTGTATACGTATACTGTAGTATTTATTCAGCCAACAGCCATGTGTTTGATAAAACAAACCTTCAACAAAGGCAAACATAACATATACAGACATGTACACCACATACAGACCTGACAATAAGCTTCAAGTTTTATATACTCAATTTATTTTTTTTGATAGACGTGCCCACCACCTATGGTCCAACCATTGATTTAGCAGACAGCCTCTTATTTTTGCACAAAATATAAATTTACATAAATCTACAGGGAAAATAATGATTGGATTAATATATTACACTTTGTTAGCACATGTAATTTTGTTAAAAGAAATTTTCAAAATCAGTTTAATTCAAAGTTTCTTGGGTAATTTCTGTTTGAACGATTGGGTGCAATTGGTTAATATTAGAGGAAGAAAATAGATAGACTGTAGCTATCTATGCATGTACAATCTGCTCAGAGCCTGACTAGTTTGATTACTACAAGTTTAATGGAAATACCAAGCATGTACAATTTCATCTTCAGAATTAAATAGCCCAGACAATTCTACAAGCCCAACAAATATTTTCATAGTAAACATCAACTTTTCACAGTAATTGGAGGTTCTTATATATACCGCTTCATCACAACCTAGTTTGTAGGTCGTCTCAAAGCGGTTCACAAATTAGTAACCATGGTTATACATCTCCAGCACACACGCAGGCATACACACATAGGGAGATATTAGCCAGGTGGCATAGGACTAGTAGTTAGCGCCTGATAAGGCAGCTCCTGCGAATTCCTTAATATTGTATTGATTAATATATATGCTAATTGTATTGACTGTAAAACATTGTA